AAATAGATATTTTCGTTGAAATATGCTGCCTGAAACGTTTCGCGATTACAATACTTCCTTTTTACACTTCGTAAAAGGAAGTAAAAATGCTCACGATGTGAGTTTGGTTCACGTATAGTACGTATAAGAGTTGGACAATGAAAGGGAAGCATTTGCATCTGCATTGTAATACATTAGCGATTCATTTTTGTGAATGACTATTACAAGTCTTATACACAATCATTAAAGATACTATTTCAATTCATGATGGGTAACAGGAAAAATGTTTTATAAGCTTTTATTTAGTTAGCTCACAGGGAAATTTTATCATCGATTTTTAACCGAATTCCTGATATGCTTCCGAATTCAAATTTTGTATACATAATGTTGGTTGATGACAATGCAATGCGAAGCAATGTGTGGGGTTTTATTTTATTTCAACTAACGGTTAATTTTATTTTGGAAGCTACCTTTCCTATAGTTAAGCTTGCTAAATTACAGCCGTTTATATTAACTGCTGGTTAGTCTACATCGGTGGTAGCCAAGAACCAAAAACGCGTAAATTACCTCTGTGCAGCTTCGTCTGATTTATTCGACTTAAAATTAGTTTTAATTTTACGTTTTCTATTTAGAGTTGTCACCAATAATATTATGCAACCTGCAAGGCCGTATATGCACCAGAAGGACCATCTGTTCGTACACATACTGGCCAATGAATTAGAAATCTTTCAGATTTTCATTTGGATGCAATTTTTTTATGACTTGGGTTATACGTGGTTAGAATGCTAGCATAAGTAAGGTGTAAGAGCAAAAGTAAAATGGAAAAACGGCAGATCTTTCACCATATGAAAAAGGGCTTGTTGCTGGTGCTCGTTTAGCAGGGACCTCGATTTCGAAGACAGCAACTCACTGGGTTCTCAAAAGCAGCTATATATCAATGGTTTTCAATAGTTTGGAATCAGAACCCACAGTCCTTCTCTAGAAGATGTAATTGCGATTTAAGCACAGTTTTTCCAAGAGAGTCGGCGGCGTCTCCGGCGAATTGAATGGCAGAACAGGGACTTTACCGTGCTTCAACTGACACATATCGTCAACTAAGGCTCTTCCCAAAAGATTTCAGCTCGAACTATGCGCAGAGAATAGGAATGCATAGTCTAGTTGCCTGTGACAAAAACCAATCATTTCTGCCCGGGATATAAGAATTCGTTTGCAGTGGTGTCGAGAAAGAAGACACTGAACATCTGAGGATTGGAAACGGGTAATGTGGTCGGATAAATGGCGCTACACCTTATTTTGCACTGATGGGGGGGGGGAGATGTCGAATTTGGAAAGTGTCCTATGTAAACATGAATCCATCTTGCCTGTGCAAGGGTCTGGTGGGAGTATCATGATATGGGGCATGTTCTGCTGGGAGGAGTGGTGTCCTGTGGTGTTCTCGAGTTAAAAACCCCATAATACCTAGATACTCACAGATCATGTGCACCCTGCAATGTTGCATTTTTGCCCTGATGGCGACAGGATAGTTCATGGACAATAATGCAACTATACATCGTGCCAGAAGTGTTTAAAATTGGTGCACTGAACATCAGTCTCACTTCCAATACCTTCCCTGACCACCGCCTAGCTCGTTAGTTAGTTAGTTCTAAGCACTGACTTCCAGCCCAACTAGCGGGCGAAACCTGCCATATGGCTATGAGGGGACAGGCCAAGCCACAAAGGCATAACAACCACAAAAGAAAAAATAAAGTAGATAAAAATTCAGCACTCTCGATGAACTAGTATATAAATGCGTCTCCTCATTCTGTCTTTCGAGTTTTAAAACCTTTAAAGTTTTACTTACTAGTTATTATATTCCAATCTCTTGATTATCAAAATCATCTTAAATTTATAATTACCTCAATGACTTTGTTTCAGTAGATTTTTGCTTGTTATATCTCGATACCAATATTCTTCTTATTCTCATTCACCGTTTGCATAATATCTCTTGCGAATTTTCTAAACAATTTATAATTACTAAATAAATTCTCAAACTTCGCAAATTTATATTATACCACCTAACTCGTATAAAATGTTTGGAATAGGGTGAAAAGACGCATCCGACAACACTCTCCTCTTCCATCTAATTTACAAGATCTAAAAAGGTGCATAGCCAATGCATGGTATTCTCTGGACGTAAATGAAATCCAGAAGCATGTAGACTGGATGCCCAAACGAATCAGAGCAGTTATTGTGCAAAAGGTAGCTCAATAAAATATTGATCCTGGGTTTCTAATTCATTGGCTAGTTGAAATTATTCTTGAGTTGAAATAATAAAAAAAAAAAAAAGAGTCTTTTTTGCGCTTCTTCTGTGTTGTTCCTGATACAAGCTGAACTTAGCGAATAATCGTTTTATAGTTTTAGTTAAGATCCAGCTTCCAAATAACTTTAAATTAGTTAAAATCTTGTAAATGTTCTCAAAATTCGATTAATTTTTTTAATTTAATGTTTAAAGAAACGATTTTTCGCACACGTCTTCGTTTTAACAAAGAAACTAAACAAATCAGAACTTTACTATTTGCATCATCAAATACTGAGAAAATTGTATGAATACAAGTTTCATTGAAGTTTTTTTTTTTTTTTAATTTTCAAATTTTAACTTAATTTCTGATTTTTTGGGAATGTTTGAAAAACGTTCCATTTTTTAGACTATTTAATGTTTATGATTTTAAAATTTCAACATCCAAAAAGGCATCATATATAAAGTTTTAAAAATTTTCCGTCCGAGCGGTAAAATCGCTGAACACTGGTAGTTCGACATAGGTTTGATTTAGGTCAACGAGCTGGCTGCATAGGCGTGTTTGTGGTTTCATCCATGTACAATGGGAATGGGAGCCACATTTTAAGAATTCGTAGGCAGTTTGCCTCAGAAAGTCCTTCAGGAAGGCATTCCTCCCTTTAGGCAGATAACCCTTGAGTGCTTTGCCATAATCAAATAAACCAAATCAAACTTTCAGGCTAATGCCCTCCCGCTTGGAGAGAAAGATTTTATACTATGCGGATAGTTTTTCAAAGGCAAATTATTTATTTTAATTATAAAGTGGGAGCTTTATAATATAGGTTTAATATAATATAAGTTTTTAGTAACAATACAATAGGTTTAAGCCTTCCTTCACACTCATTATACTATTTTGAAAATTCATATTTTAAAAAATATTTACTAGGTGTTTTTGTTTAGATGTCAAAACGGGATTTTCGTCAAATTTACTTTTATGAGTGTAAACTAGGCCACAGCGCAGCGCAAACAGCTCGAAATGTCAACAAAACTATGAGGCGAGAAATGTGTTAATGAATCTACAGTTCAACGGTGGTATCAAAAGTTTCGTCGTGGAGAATTTGAGCTGGAAGATTGAAAGCATCGTGCACGCTCTTCAGCTTTTGATGACGACGATTTGAAAACTTTAGTTGAAACAGACCCGTGCACAGCTGTTCGAGAGCTTGCGGAGGAGCTTCGTGTAAGCAAAACAACGATTTCTGATCACTTGAATCGTATAGGAAAGTCAAAGAAGTCGATAAGTGGGTGCCTCAGGAATTGAGCGAAAATAAAAAAAAATCGCCGTCGTGAAGTATCGTTTGCTCTTCTTCTCCGCAAAAAACGACCCTTTTCTTGATCGAATTGCGATGAAAAGTGGATTCTCTATAACAACCGGCGACATTCGGCTCAGTGGTTGGACCGCGGTCAGACATCATAACACTTTCCAAAGCCAAATTTACACCAAAAGAAAACTATGGTTGTAGAGTCATTAGGATTTTTTTGGAAGCAGACAAGATGAAAAATAGGCAACCGCCTTCCCGGATCGAACCACGACCCGGAAACACGGCCCGCGCGCAGGAAACTACACCACAAGGACGTGAAGGGGGAAAATCCTTAATACTCCCCTTTTTAAAGGACGACTGGGTTTAGGGGACCTGTCACAAATCCTGGGTGGCGGAGAACACAATGCGGAACCTTTTAGTCGGCCGCCACTTGTAGAGTCATTAGGATTTTAGAAGCAGCAAGATGAAAAAATAGCACCCGCCTCCGCCGGGAATCGAGCCACGGACCTCTGGATACCGGCAGCGTGCAGAACCACTACCCCACGAGACTAGGAAAGTGGGAGGAAATACCTTATAGGTGACGTTTGGTGGTCTGCGGGCTGGTCTCATCCATCCCAGCTTCCTAAATCTGGGTGAAAACGATTAAAGGAATAAATACTGTCAGTAATCCAAATGCAAACCGAAAATTTACAACGCATGTGCTCGCCATTGGTCAACAGAAGGGGCCAGTTCTTTTCCACGCACTGTTCGGGCCGCACGTCGTGCATGACCATTCAGAATTGCGAATTGGGGATACAGACTCTTCCCTCCTTTCCGCCCTGCCTGACCTCGCCCGCCATATACCCCCTTCTTTCAAACAGCTGATAACATCTGCAAAAGAAATGCTCGAAACCAAACGAGCCAAACGCTATCGCCCGCCACTTTATCGTGCAAGAACTCCAGAATTTTATGCTAACGGTATAAATAACTTAATCCGTTGGCAAATGCCTTGATCGGCTGTGCTTATTTTGATTAATATTGTTTTTGAGTTGAGTTATGATACTTTAAAGATACAGGTTAAAAACCTGCATTATTTTCCGGACAACCTAATAATTAATGAAACGGTAGAAGTTTATTGGAAGATCATGAGAAGAATTAAATTCTTTGAAAAAGGGGGTTGTCTATTTGGCAGGGGTACGAAAGAAGTCTGAAACACGATCGATATTTTTAATCTTCTTATCTATTAAGCAGTTAAAAAAAAAGAAATTAAAGAATTTGTTCAACCCGAATAAACGCAGGCTATAACTCTGTCGAAAGTCTTCGTGACGTCACTTCGAACGTCACGCAAAAAAGGGAAAGCGTATGAAGATCCCTCAAAATCCCTGTCACGTGTCTCGCGACCCTCAGAACAACCTTGTGGCTTAGTTCAAATGGCCGCGGGGTTAACCTATATAAACATCAGAACCTCATGCTAACCAACCAATTCGGAAGGTGAGTTTGAATCTCTGAGAACTGGAAATCAGAATTTTCGAGAAACAGAAGAGGAGAGTGGAGAAATCATTTTGCATATTTCGGACACTGTCATTCGGCAGTTCAACTGAACTGAAGTCATCGCTGAGTGCTCTCCAAATACTAAATTTCGTCTGTTTTGATTGAGTAAGTGAAACGTTTTGTACAGTGTTCATTAGCAGGTATGTAACATTTTTCTAAAATGTGTGCAAATGTTTTCTAAAATGTAATATTTTTCTGATATCGAACATGCAGTCAAAATTGCAAACCTCCTGTAGAATCTCAAAATATAATTTCACGATCTTAATAATTAATTACATTTGAAAGAAGTTAGTGACGAAATACATGCGTTGTCAAAAATTCGAATATCCCTCAGAATTCCCCTAAAACTTCATTTTGAGTGCTACTGACCAAAACAAACTTCATTTTATCTATTTCTGATTTTAACTCACCGTCGACGAGAATGCTTCGAAACATTAATAATGAAAAAACATATATTTTTAATGTTAAACGTGTTACAGTTACTACATTTTCAAAATAATGTAAATTAGAAAAAAAATGATTCTAAGAAAATCAAGACTAGAAACAAATATTTTGCTATAATACAATATATTACTAGATATCTAAGCTGAAATCCACTGTTTAGGGTATGAAACGTCTGCCAAATTTATATATGTATATTATTAGAAAAGGTATTTATCTCCAAGAAAAACAAATTTAATTAATGCTATGAATTATTAGAAAAAACTTTAGTAAGTACTTTTAAATAGCTTTCCAAGTCAGTATCCAAAGTTATCTATCTCTATTGTAGTAAAAATTATTCAAAATCTGTAAAGAAAAATCCTTTGACTGTATAAGTTCCTAATATTAAATTCAAAATCCAAACTACTGAAAAAATAGCTATTGTTATGATCGCAGATTAATTGACTCGTCAAGGGGAACAAACCAATCTACTATCAATTAACAATAACCAAATTAAATGAGAGTGTTTAGTCTTTTTTCAAATAAGGATCACTATGTATAAATATATAAATAATTAAATATTGAAATAAGAAGGCAAAAAATTTGAAACGTTTCGGATTTTAAATTACGTCCAAAGGGGCGTTTTTTTTAACGTTTTGTGTGTTACCTTTATTTATTAAATATCATGTTCTACGTACTCAAACAATAAAATTCAGTTCAACAGCAATATCGCAAAGTAATTTTACAATGAGCATATTTTTTGAATTTCCGATACACAGTTCCGCGCGCTGGAGGTAAAAAAAGGTTTCTCCCCTACAGTGTTGCCATTGCTCGCTTTTAAATCGCTGAGTTTGGTACTCAAAAATTCGTTAAAGTTTTACGAAATATGAAATCGATAATAAAACAAATTTCAAATTCAAATTAGGGCTTCCACATGCCTGTATTCTATGGAAGATTACGCTATTCAAATCTGGATGGTTCTAGGTAACGTTGTTTTATCACAATGCGAGAAACATACATACATTTATGCAGATTCTTCATTATTTAATTTCTTTAAATATAAGATAGAGCAATAATATAGAGTGGCAACGATTTGAAAAGTGATACAGCCTTTTAAAGTTTTCAACGCAAAATGCCAAAACGAAATTAATAGTCCTTCAGGGCAAATTGCCTCTTTGGACTAATAATATACAATGCATTTTACACGTATTACTAACAGATGGAAAAAATATGATAGATATATAGATATATGTTTTATGTATTATAGCAATTTACTATAAAATAGTCATAATTCATATGATATATTTACTAATTTTCCCCCTTTTCGCGCACTAATTTTGCTTCCTAAAAATCAAGAGCAGAAAATTACGCTATGCATGAATATTTCTGAGGAACGAAGATGAAGAAAGAACCTAGCTGATTTAAAAATACGATACTTCTGCATTCTATATGTCAAAGAAATCAGTTGAAATTATTACTTTAAACATCACTTATCTTACCAACGCTGTGTAATTTGTTATAGATTCGTAACTTGTACGTTGTTACCATAAATTAGGCCCTTATTATTTTGTCTGTTCTTTCACTTGTGCATGCTCCCACTGGAAGGCAAATTAGTTAACATTTAAGTACAGAGTTCTTAAGTGTGGAAGAGAGGCTTTGGTGACTACTGTTGATCGCGATTCTATAACTTCTCCTGAAAATGAATTACTTAAATCGGCTGAAGCCATAATTGTTTCGAGACAAATTGAGGGCCTCAGCCAAAACTTGTAAGCAAGCTTTACTTTTTATTTAGTATTTTAATTCTACTTCAGCATTTGCTGCAGGCTGGGAAGAATTGATTTTCTTTTATTAAATAGCTAATGTAATCGTCAAGTTGACAAGTAAATATAAAGGTTTATTTCAAACATTCTTCTGAGTTGGTTATACCAAAGATACTACTAGAAGTCAAGAAAAGGCGTCAAGTCGTCACTGTACGTATATCGTATACATCTGCATAAATTTTCGAAACACGTCACATTTATTTATTTACTATCAGATGAGCAGCTTTAAGACATTCAGCTTTTATGCTCAACTGATGGAATTATCTATCAACTGTGTTGTTATATATAAAATACAATAAAGTTTTTAAATTTTGATAATTACCTAATAAAAATTAAATATCATGAAATAAATATATAAATACATAAATCGATACAATAATAAAAATTAAAAATTTAGAATATTTAAATGTCTAAATACATGTTGTTATATATGAAGTCATTATAGTATTAGAATTTAGATTACATAATAAAAATTTTAAAATTAGATATATATACTTAAACCTAATAAATGTAAGTAAATGAAACTAATAAATAATTTAAATTATATAAATAAATTTATAATGTAAATACTTAAGAAGATTATTACAAATTTTGAAAATGAACAATAATGTACGAGAATAGTAGGGGCTGAGAATGTACTGAAACGTGTCACATTGAAATTACCTGTTGTTGCATCTGTATATTTTAGGATACAAAGCAATATTTTAGGATTTCGCAGAAAGTGTCATTTTCCTCACACACACCGAGAGCGGTTCAATGGCAATGAAAGGTTAGCTATTTTTATCACCGTGAAAGATAATCACGTCGTTGCATTTCTCAGTATAGCAGTATTGAAAGTTGAGGCATTGCGCGATCTTCAACTGCCCATGTTTTGTAAACTCTCGGATAAAATTATTATTACCATTTTATAGTATTTCAATTATACTGTAAAATTCCCTTTTACAACACTGCAGAATATGAGCCTTTGCCATGTCGTAAATGGCAAATTCGAAATGTTTCACTTTAATTTTCTAAGCAAATTTATTCTCCTTATTTATGAAAAATATTGCTATCGCATTTTTTTCCCGTTTCTGAAGTGAATTATATATGACTACTCACAAATTTGCATTTTAATTAAACTGTTTCCGGCTAATATTTAAAATTTTCAAACATTCAATAACATATATATTGAAGGACTTTAAGAATCCAGCTCCTTTGTACTCAAATTATATATATGTATCTGTATCTCTCTATCTGTCTATATAAATATATGTAAAGATTTTGAATGCGTAGTCGAACGCTTTGACGAACTTTAAGAATCCAGCGCTTTTGTGCTACGATTATATACATATAACATTAGAATTTAATTATTACCTCCTAGGAACAATATTTCAGTATTATTGTAACTTAAATAAAGTAAATTAATATGACGTTCAATTAATTTAGAAGTTTGAAAAATAAATTTCAAATTGGGATGAATGGTAACCATTAAAAACGCAATACATATCTGTAAATGCCAATAGATGCAGAATATTCATTTTATTTTAATTGAACATTTTGTGACCCCAAATAACTTTTCATACAAATCGTGCCTATTTCGGAACGTAACATTTACACTGGTCATCAAAATTCAAGGATAATGACAGAAATAAAACGTAACTGATGTTTATTGAAAAATTATTAATAGAAATTTGTACAACAGCATTATTCAACATAATATAATTTATGCTAACTAAAACTTTTGTACAAATTTTTAAACATTATAATATGTTTGACATTTGACTATTCGCAAAGTATTGAAATTAAAACCAAATTTATGAGAATAGGAAAATGATGGAAAAATTATGTTACGTCTTGTGGAAAAACTTTCTCTTTAATATGGTGCATGGTCACCTCGGACAGATATGAATACCTCACATTTTGATTTCATGGACTTTACCAAAGTGTCGATTAAGTCTTGTGTAAAAGCACGCCATTCTTCTAAAAGTGCATTTTTCAGCTCCTTGAGGGTCTGGGGTGGAATTTGGTGCTCTGAAATCAGGAGCCGTAAAGCAATGGTCGAATGAAAAATAATGGAGAAACCTGTCAACACTTCCAAAAAACACTTAACACGTATTATGGTTATATGATTTCAGATCCCAAACGACTGAATCATTGATGGGGGGGGGAAACTAAACAATATTGCATCTGATGTAATTGATTTTAAAAGATCAAAGCTCCGCCAGAGATCGAATGATTAAGATCGCTGAATACTGGAAATTCGAACCGAGTTCGGTCTGAAACGGATGGGCTGGCTGCATGATCAGTTTTCACGGTTTTCCCAAAGTTTCACGCGAATACGAACCAATTTTCCTTAGAAAGTCTTCAATAAAGACACCCTCCTTTGAGCAAATGCTTTGAGACCTTTTGTGCTTTGCCATATCCAAATAACCTAACCCAATCCCGCAGTGAAGCATACATATTTTCATTATGAGTATATACTCTCTTACATATTCCCTCCTTCCAACAATGCCTTCGTGGTGTAATGGTAACACACTCGACCCGTATTCGAGAGGTCCGGGTTCGAGTCCCGGCGAGGGTATTCCTCATTTTTCACGTCTCCAGCATCAAAAAACCTAAATATCTCTACAATTTTTATCTCAAATATTACAATCGCATCCACCCATTTTTGCTAGGAACCAAAACTGGCTTTTACCTTTCTCCTGAAAGTAAAACATCGTTCGTAGCGTTATTCATCAAAATGTAAATTCTGAACGAAAATTTAGTTTCCGATAAATGGCAACATGTTCTATACTGTTGATAAGTGACAGCCCGCTGCTGACACGATAACGTGTTTAGACGGAATATACACAAGAAAAAAGTAAAAGATGATACCTAGAGAGGTTGTATTCATTAAATTCGCCAGTATTCATAATACTTTTTTTTTAAATAACAAAATAAAGAACATAAGTAAAATGCAGACACAAATATAATTAGTATAAAACTTATACATAGTATAAAACGTACTATGAAATTAACTACAAAGAGAAAATTAATTTCTTTGCAGTATAAACTAAATACGTTAGTAATTCTTTTTCACAAATACTTTTGTTTTCTGGGTTGAGATATCCAGACTTTCACAAAATTATTAAAAAACATACAGTAAAGTGATTAGATATGAAATGTTTAATATTACTGTAGAAGAATACTCATGATTTTCAAATGATCATAAACTCAAGAGACTAAGAATGTTTATCAAATAAATGTATTGAAACAGTTAAAATTTCTGTTATAGCCTTTAGTTTGAGAGATGGAACAAGCAAAGATTATGATTTCAGCAAGGGTTAATAGTGCTATAATACAGCTAAATGTTTTTAGGTTCTTTACTGGATTAAATTCGAGTGATGCAGTATTAAAATCGGGATATCTTAAATCAACACTCACAAATATCGGTAGGTATAACATTTTCTGCACGAATTCTACGAAAGTCTCCATTCTCTTGAAAAGATAGCCCTGGTATGCTTTGCCACATCCAAATATCCCATAGGGGTTTCAAGATCATTCATTTATTTTGGCCACAGACTTTATTTGTTTTGCTGAAGAGAGTATAGTGGGTTATTGGGTACGGTGAAGAGAGTACAGTGGAAAGAGGTATTATTGGGTTTTTTACCTTTGTTTTCTATCAAATATCAATATTATTATAAATCTTTGTTTTTTACCAACTATTAGACAATGAACAGATGCAATGGAAGTCTTTTAAAATCTGACATTAACTGACAATTGTCAGAAATTATAAAACTCTTTAGAAAGAAAACTTCAAACACGTATTTTCTTCTCATTTAAAGTCAATGAGCTTTTGAAAGCAATTAACGAAGACAATTAAGCAGAACTGTTTTCCAATTTAAATTCATAATTTATTTAGTTATCTGAAAAAAGCTTAAGAAAGGCAGAAGTAGTTGATGCCTTAGGTGATAAAAATATTATCATTCCCATTAATATGTAAGATGACATTCTCACGTAATAATTGAAAGACAGAAAGAAATTAAATTAGTTTTGCTTTTAAATCTGTCGGCACATCTAAGAGTGTTTCTGTATTTGTTTTTAAAGAAGACCCATTTTCTTCCTCATATATGTTATGATAAAAGGCAGCGAGAAGCTTTTTCGAGTTATAAGTATTTAAATAATAGAACCCAACCAATATATCGCAATGAAAGGGAGATTAACAAAACGTTTTATTTCGGGTCAGTATCACGTCTCCATTTCCTATTTCTGTACTTGTTATATTTAATCATCTTTTGTGTTACTGTCAAACGGGTTCCTGCACTTCGTTTTAATAGTATTAATTTGAAGAAAACATTCACTTAAGCTTGCTATCAGTAAGAAATATTAATCCTCTTCGGAGTACATTTGCTTTAATTACGTAAATATCCAAGATGTGATTTACAATCAATCTACCAATCGCTATTCAGAAAAAAAGTCTACTTCGAAATGTGTCAAGTTTGAAGAAAATGGTGTTTTAATAATCCATTCGATATCTCATAATTAAATGTCAAAATAATTAAAAATATCTTATAACAGAAAAATCAGAACTTAAAGCACTTCTCAAGAAGATGCAAGCAAGTTTTGTGTCACTCTAGTTACTTAAAAATATAACAACTGTGCATTGTGTTTCATGCTATAAATACATATTTGTAATCTGCTCTTTTGTCGTCTAACTAGAAGATATATGAAACAAGATTTTACGCACACAAGAACATAAAGCAACTTTTAACCATTTTTTGAAAACTTTTAACAACTTCTAGAAACATTAGGTATTTTGGAAGCAAGAGAGATTAAAAATGAGCAACCGCCTTTGCCGGGAATCGAACCACGGACTATTAGAATGCCGGCCCAGCGTGCAGAAGCCCTGCACCACGAAGGCACGCCAAGAAGGTGGGAGAAATACCTTATATACTCCCTCTTTTCAAAGGGCGACTGAGGTTTTTAGGGGACCCAATCGCCAAATCCTGGGTAAGGAGAATCATCATCCAATACCCTTTTAGTTCGGACGCCACTGTAGAGACATTAGGTACTTTTTGGAAGCCGTAGAGATGAGAAATTAGCAACGCCTTCGCCGGAAATCGAACCGCGGACCTCTGAATACCGGCCCAGCGTGCAGAACCACTACACCAAGCTAGGAAGGTGGGAGAATTACCTTATAACACTACAATGGAATACATACTTAAAAAGGCGAACTCTCTTTCTTGTTAAATGTGCAAAGTTTTTTTCTAACATAAATTTAACCAATTTCATAATTTCTGTGAATGTTGATTAGTTTTAGCTTTATCATTCATTTCTTTTTTTGACAGAGAGTACTCATCCCGTTAGTAACAAAAGTTGTTTACAGCATAACATGTTCAGAATAAAAGGAATTTTTAGTAAATATAAAATTATGACCTCTTGTATCGTCAAAGAATAATGAGTACTTTCATTTTTATCAATATCTTTTCTAGATATGGTAAATGAAAGGTTACATGGTCCTAAATTTAATACCGATTCGCTCTAACATCAACCGACCTGTGTAAATTGTTTAAATTTATAATATCAGTTGATTTTTGTTAATAAATATATAAATTTACATTTCACAAGATATAGTATGCAAAATATTTCTTGCTTTCTAAGTAGCAATCGAAACCCGAAAAGGGGGGAAGCAAGTAGGCAGTGTAATTAGCCTAGAGGAGTACACAAGTCAAATTTTGTGAAGATAGCACTTATCGTTTTAATTCTGTGGGTGTGCCCAAAGTGGGCACGTTGATTAAATAGAGCTTCGTAAAGAGTGCTGAAACGAGCATTGTTGTCAATGAACTGACCCATGAGATGCGGAGAAACTAAGAATGCAGACTCTCCATTTGTCCTAGATGATCAGTGAGCCCGGTCTGGGCACACCCAGGGTTCGCCGTTTGATTTTAGGCAAGACTTCAAAGTAAAAATTTAAACTAATATAGAATAAGGAGATTAGCACACAGCCAAAAAAATAATAACATAGAAATTTCTTTTCAAACAATTCCTTTTATACCCTACAAAAATCTGGAAGATTTCTTTGAAAAAGGAGGGTCTTAAAAAAACTAAGCATGGCTAAAATATATGTATTGGTTTGTGCTCAGATGCCATCTACTATAAATAAAAAAAGGTTCAGAGTAACCTATAAATCCTTTTTCATTCAATTTTTCTGTGCGTACAGAAGGAAATTTATAGGTGTTGTCCAGACTGGACACACTGTGCAGCAAAGGGTTAAATCTTGAAACGGACGGAAAATAAACCGCAAAGTTGTTCTCGAAAACCACCGAGCACACCTCTTAAAATTATGAGAAATAATAAAATTTTACCAGACAACACTTTTTTTTAAAGCAATCCTTACGTTTTTTTTTTTTTTTTTTTTTTTTTTTTTTTGGGCATTATTCAATGAGCGGTCTTTAGTAATCAAAAGCCATAATCCTCTTATAATAAAGAGCATTTATCCTAGTTGATGAGAAATCCAGGGCTGTGGAGTCTGGATCATGGAGTCGCAATCTGAGTTAGGCAGATTTTGGGGTAAAAGGAGTCGGAGCTAGAGTCGTTAAAAACACGTCGACTGCGACTCGAGTTTTTGTCGGACAATTTGAATTTGAAATGAAATTAATGTGAGTTAAAAAAAACATTTCGTGACAAACTGATTTACTTTTTTTTATTTATGGACTACATACCTTAAAAAATAGTTAGTTTCTTTTTTATTGACGAATTAATAAATAAATATAAGGAAGGAGGATGGATGTGATATTTACCATTACTGATTAAACTAGTATATTTAGTTACTTCATTTAGTTACAAATCTTATTGGTAAACTTAGGTAAGCAGCAATTATTGATCAAGCAACGCGATGGGGAAGTGCATATTTGATGATATAGAGGTTGTTAGAATTAAGAACGTGTTTAGAAGATGTAGATAACTTTAATGTTTCCCTAACAGAGGTGAGAAAGGAAGAATGTGATGTTTGTTCTTTCTGAAATGGAAGGTTTATTGCACAAGGAATCATTTCTTCAATGAAGAAAAGTGGTGTGGTGTTGTGGTGTATTTAATTATGGCAAAGCACACGAGGGCTGTCTCGCCTAAGGGGAGGGATGCCTTTGTGGAGGACTTTCTAAGGGAAACTGGCTCGTATACACGTTACACATGGGGAAAACCACGAAAACACCCATGCAGCCAGCCCGTTCGCGGGATTCGAACCTCGGACCGAACTACCAGTGTTCAGCGACTCTACCGCTCGGCCGCTGGTGGGCTCAATGAAGAAAAGAGAAACTAATTTGCTAGAAAAAGATATCTTGCTGGGTTGAATATACATAGATCTAAAACATCTAATTTTGTTGGATGACGAATAAACTAAAAAGGCAAACAAAGCCATCTATGAACTTTCATCAAGAATGAAAGAGCCACATGCCTGAATAATTCTCACAGAATTGCATCGAATAGCTAAAATTATTATGTTCTTCATTCTAAAATATGTAAGTAAGAAATATCTAATTTTAGCTTCTTTTTTTTTTTTCTAGAAAATCAAGACTTCTGAATTTCATCGATTCGAAAATTCTCCAACTTAATGTTTAGTTATTCAATCAGCTTGCCGGAATTCAAACCAACGGCCTTCCATGGTATGAGCAAGCGTTATTTAAATTATAAATTATACTGCTTCTTGCACTTTTTTGGAAGAATTAGGACTAACATCGTAAGATCTGAATTACTTGTATTATAGAATTCATATTTAACTTTCATTAAAATTTATTCTATTGTTGCGCATTTTGTGAATTGCTTCAGCTAGATGCAGAGATTTGTTGCAGGAATTCAACTTTAAAAGTCAAAAAGTGTGTTTTAAAATTTCGATCCCCTGTTACATAAGTAGCAAAGTGCTTGAAGTCATAAACGACTGTGATCTGTAATTTAGCAATAGCGAAAAGTGGTACTAATAGTATTTCAGTAGCGAAGAAGAATCAAAAGTTTCAAGAAATTTCCACTTTCACATCGCATATCGAAAGCCGATAAAATCGGTATCACTGACTGTTCCAGCAAGCTCAGTTTTATTTTGCAGACCTTCAAACAGACCAAAATTTTCAGCAATTCCACGGAGTTTCCACTTATTTACTGCAGCTTGAATTATATCAGATAAAAGTTCAAGGTTAGCTCCATCAACTTCAAGTCTTCTTAAAAATTCTTCGAGGTTCGTCGCACAGCTGTTTCGTATTCTTACTTCAAAATGCCAATCCGTGTTTCAGCTACTCTCGCAGATCCACCCCAGCTTCAGAGACAAGAACGTGCCGGCAGGAGAGGATGGAATGTCAAGGCATCGAATTTTGCCACAGGAACAATCAATCCTATCAGAAAAGTTGTGGAAAACATGAAACTCACTCCCAATCCGGAAAAGAAAATGATTTCGCTTTCCATAGGTAAGTATATCTTTATGATTTACTTCTGTATTACTAAGATACACATTATTCTAATATCTTAATTAAGTTAAAATATAGTATTTTGATGTAAAATTCTGTTTAAGTTTTAATATTTCCATAAATGCCTAAAATAGCTCAGCTAATGATTTTTTTTAGATATTGGCTACAATCTTTTCCCATTTCTTTTACTAACCTATCCAAAAAAATTCTAGAAAAAAGTATTTTTATTTCTTTGAAAATATTTTTACATCTTGCTGTTGTCCGGACATAATAATAATACACACACTGGCCAATGAATTAGAAACCTTTAAGATTTTCATTTGAATGCGTGCTAGGGATGAAATATGCAAATTTTTTATGGCGTGGTTTACAAGTGGTTACAATGCTAGTATATGTACGAGTGCTTTTCACGATGAATTGAAGTAAAATGGGAAAAACGATAGATCTTTCACCATTTGAAAAAGGGTTTATTTAGCTTTATTAGGATTCCTGTTTAGCTGGGGCCTCGATTTCGAAGACAGAAAATCTTACTGGGTTTTCAAAAGCAGCAATATCAAAGGTTTTTTAAAGCTGGGCATTTCGTTACCGCAATAGGCTCGCCTAACCAATACATCATCTGGACGGCTTGAAAACATAATATTCTGTTTGAAGAATTATATTCGATTCAGTCATGATATCCCCCCTTCCAATGACGGGCACTTGCTTATAATGGCATTGGCCACTACTAAGGCCAGAAGAGGTGGCCGTTTTATTGTGGAGGTACCTAGTAGGTGGCCACCGTTACCTCCTATGAAGGGACAGGTGACAGCAGGACAGGGCACCCGGACGGCTTTCTATGACTACTCGGGTGTTAACCTGGCCCTGCAACCATCTAAAGACTTCATAGTTGTAAGACGCTTAACAGATGTGTGCTCAATACATGTCACGTTACATCTACAGTATTATATGTGCACTGTACATTGCTGTGCTAATAACCTTGAACGGCATGTCGGCTCGCGGATAACTAAAAACAGTTACATTTCTATACTTCGGATACACATACCATTGCTGTCCTAGCTACTTTAGTAAGCTTTGAGAATCGTTATGCCAAACATGTTTATTGCATGTGCCCTATTCCGGCCTGCAGAGGTCTATGCCCATTTTTTCTAGCTTGTCCATTATGCTTTTAAGCTTTTGCCGCGTGCCTCGATGTTTTGCGAGGAGGCGTTTGAAAGGCAGAACATTGGTGGTTAGGAATTTGATGTGCCATTCTGCTGTTAAAGGGCACTCCGTGAGATAGTGGTCTGGTGAGCCCAAGTATCAAAGACACACACATTAGTTGTTGCTAGACCCCTGGGGCCGTTTCCAACTGGAAAGGGGCCGTGGCCTGTTATATATCTCGTGAGGTAGGGCGCTGAGATGAGCCGGTCCACCTCTACCTTGGGCAGGAACTCATATGCTCTGCGGCCTTGCGGGATTTGGTTCCATTCTTTCTGCCAGTTTCCAATGGCAGTCTCCTCTATTTGCCTCTTTAGGCATTGACCGGGGCAGGGGCACTTGAATCTGCTCCGTTTCCTCATTTTGGGCAGCCTCCCCTACGAAGGGACAGACAATTTTACATCCATGCCTTCTCCGGGATTCGAACCCTTTGGTATCGCAGTAGGGCTCTCCTAACCACTACACCATCTGAGCAGACATCATGATATTCAATACTAACAAAGACTTTGCTTTTGATATTTATTTTACTCGTAACAGCAGAAGTAATGTTTGTGAATATTAAAGTTAACAGTGTAATAAAACCAATATTTTAAAGACATTAACTTTTATCTCTTAAAGAAAATGTTTAAAGTTTTAAACATAAAATAAAAATATAAAACAAACTGACTGACAAAAAGGAAAATCGCAACTGGAAAATGTTTAAAAGTTTTAAAACATAAAATATAAAGCAAACTGATTGACAAAAAAGAAAAATCGCTTTTGTGAAGTAATTATAGTCTTCTCGGAATCTGAACTTCGAAAACAAATTCAACTGCAAATAAATGACGGAAATAAATCTTTTTTTGGTTTTAATTAATCGTTTGCAAATTTATTTAGAGGCAATAAATCCACGAAAACAGAGTATCATATAGTAACAAGTTTTGAACTATAACCACATACGAAATTCACGTCCTGATTTGACCAGTCATCAAACATACGAATAAGCAAAATACATTTATTGATATCAATCCGTTTATGGACAAAAAATTGCTCATCTAAAATAAATAAAATGTTTAGGAAACAAAAAAAAAAAAAAAAAAAAAAAAAAAAAAAAAAAAAAAAAATTGCAAAACTTTTGATTACTTTACAAGTGCTTTCTTTCTATAATTGGTTCTGTAAATTTATTTGTGTGAGAAGAATGGTTACATTGGTTTGATCTTCTCATTTTTAAATTCGTATTCTTCTAATAAAGCTTCAAAATATTTAGACTTCAAAATTTTATAAATAAACAAACAATAAAGCGTCAATTTTTTTTTTAATTTACGTAAAAATTAAGCTAAAATTTTCTGAGTGAAATTTAACTTTTACTATCGATGAAAACTTTAAACATTTTTAACAATTTAGTACAATAATTTATATTTCCATCAGCGATTTTAAAAATTTTAATTTATTCAGTGAAATTTTAATATAAAAATAGCGAGACTTGGTATAATAGGATTTTAACGAATTTCCATATTTTGCTTTGACATACTTTGATATCTATACCCGTGCATTTCAATCATTCTCATCTTCGTACGACTTGATTAAAGTCGTACGAAGCCGAGATGTTAATTAAAAACTCTAAAAACGCTAAATTTCGTTTCATGTTTCCGAGTGGCAACAGTCTCGCGCGCTGGAGATAAAAATCTACTTTATTTCGAAAAGTCTTGCCATTGTTCGCTTTCAAATCGTAGAGTTTCTTAAACAAAAATTTATAAGCTCTACCAAATAGGAAATAAAATTGCTTTGTCAAATTATTAAATATATTATTATTATATAAGGTCATGTTTTACATAAACAGCTGCTGTTGGGAACTTTTTTATTTCAGATTAGGATAATTGACAAGACATGTTATTGCCACGTTCATTCTTTTGTTGATATTGAGAAAAAATTATTGTGTTACATTAAATTTAAATCACAACTCCATACGTATACTTATTAACCTGAAATATCAAAAGTTTTGGTTTCCATGCATCATGGTCTGCCGACAAAAAAATTATTTACGAATTGGTTGTTTGGAAAGAATGAATTGATTTCATTCGTATTGAAATGTTTTTACGCATTTTCTTTTCAGGTGTACGTAAAACTTATTTTTTTTTTTTTGGCCACAGCTTGTCCTTTAGTATTATTATTAAATTTTGATATTATTACAATAATAATTTTGTAAATAATTCTTACATGGGGATTGCTTCAATTATAAATGGAAATATTTCATTATAAGATTTCGCAAAAAAACTTCCAAGTTTTTTTGCGTTTGAAATATTTAAAATGCTTTTGAATTGTAATTAAAGAGCCTATATAAAGGAAAACAAACATAAATGTTTTCAGAATATTTTGGAAAATAAATCATTAAACTAAGAAACACCTACATTTGTTTACATTTTTATTTTTCCTTCAGGAGACCCAACTGTTTCTGGCCACTTGAAGCCTTGCGAAGAAATCCTACAATCAGTTGAAAACAGCTTAAGAAGTTTCAAGTATAATGGATATGCTGCAAGTACAGGTATTTAGTAATTTTTAGTTCATATTTTGTACAAAAAATATTCAAATCCTAAATATTAAATCAGGTATACTAAGATTTGGTTCATACTTAGATATTAAAGTCCACTTGCTGACAAAGTGTAAATATTTGACACTTGCTGACAAAGTGTAAATACTGTACTAGAGCGCTATCACGTATCCATATGTTTCAGCTGAAACCCATAAGATCTTCAAATACGTGACTATTGCAAGAACTGGGATAACGTATTTATTTTAAAAGTAATTAGTGTTGCCACAAACATTTTTATAATTTAATGCACTGTGTGACAAAAGGTTTCGTCATGTGTCCACCTTGCGCGCACAATTTAAAACATTCTGTTACATAACTTGATTTCATATTTAATATATAGCTTTTTATGACATTTGGAAACTACTGCGAACCAAAAATTCTAAGAATTTCATGTTAAATATTTATCTTATTTGGAGTTGAGTTTATAAAATGCATTTTATTAAAAAATCTGTACGAACTAGGAAATTTCTTTTAACTTTTTCTAAATTTTGCAACTCAATGCGCAAAGGTTTTTGACCACATAGGTCTTTTATCGTTTGTTTTTTACTTTAATTAGTTATATATATATATATTACAATTTCATTTAGAGTTTTCGAATTTATCAATAAATAGAAATTTCGGTACTTACGTATTAATGCCACCGCAGCTGCAGATTTGGCAGTTTTTAAGTGCCGTCAATCTACACTTAAAATTTTTGCGACAAATCATAAATTAAAACACTTTATTTAAAATCAAAACACTTTCAAAAATCAAAACACTTTATTTAAAATCAAAGTAGTCAATCGGATTTCGATGGAAAATGGGCCGATATAGATTTTAACATAGATTCAAAACAGTCTCTATTTTCTTTGACCTGATGCTGTCGCCATATGAACTTTGCTAAATAAGATTCTAAATGATGTCTCGCTGTCCCTCTATGTCTCTTGTTCCTCCACTGAGCACTGACCCACATTCTCTCAACTGTCTGTGTATGAACTCCTGTATCAGGATCAATAAAATTATATTTATGATTAACTTTAGCTTGCAGGAATCCCCAAAGCCTAAAACATACAGTTTTCTCGTATATCTATACACTGTAATGCAAATTGAATTTGTTTTTATAAAACAGGGCATCTACAACCCAGGGAAGCAGTTGCCAAATATTCGACCAGACCCGGTGCACCAATAGAGGCAAAGGTGAGTCTAGTTTTTATACCTTTAAGCCCTTTTTTTTTAAAAACCTAGTTTTACATTGAAGAGTTTATTTCGTTGGTTGTTCAAAGGAGAGAAGAAACAGCCACTAGTTGTGTCATTTAAGAATAATAAATTATAAAAATAATCAATAAGTATCATTTTATTACGTTTTCCACTTAAATTTTGTAACATGAATGAAATTTGAATTGAAATGAATTTGGTTTGAATGAAATTTTCTGCACTAAAAGGAACGTATGGGTAGCCATAAAGATAAAAATCTCGAAATTAAAAAAGCATACAAGATTGTTGAAATCTAAATGTTCAGTGTGGATGAGTTCTTCAGAAACTAATCTGAGCTCGTAGAGTCACTCGAATTCTCAGTTACGTAAAATACCCCGGAGAGGATTTATTGAGTCATGCATGTACCAACTGCGTTCTCCAGCATAAGGTATTTTAAAACTATCAGTTTTTACTTCCTTGTACGAAGTAAAAAGGAAGTATTGTAATCACGAAAAGCTTCAGGCAGCATATTTCAACGAAAATGTCCCCTTTGACCGCTTTCGAATGCAATTTAACTATGTTTTTGCGTAATATCTGTGCGTAAGCACAGAATAAAAGACTTTTCCTCCAAAAAAGCACTAAAAAACTGCTTTAAAATGAATTCTGAAGAGAATTTTTCGTGGCGTCTGTACGAACGTATATACGTACGTGCGTACGTACGTATCTCGCATAACTCCAAAACGAGTAGCCTCAGAACGTTGAAATTTTGTATATAAGACTATTATAACATGTAGATGTGCACCTCGTATTTTGGTTTCAATCGGCCGCGCCAAACGTATATAAATATATTTATAAATATATCCACTCTGTTACCCGGCTCAGTGATCTCAGTTTCTTTACTCTTATATGTTTGTAAATTGTACATTTTTTGCTTTAAAAATGATTGAATTATGTTGTTTTTATCTTCTGGTTAAGGGTTTTATGCCTTTAGTAAATCTGTATGCAATATTTTTAGAATTATCAACAATTTTAAAATTGTTTAAATGCCGCTAAGCCTAATTTGATGGCGGCCATTGCTCTTGTTTACATTTGAAACAGCTGAGTAGCGGATTTGTTGCCAATCTAGAGAAACTTAGCTTCGCAACAACAAAGATAAAGATAACGCCTTCATTTATTATTTAAATCATGCTTAATCCTTTCTGGAATTTTTTCGAGGAAATAAGCGTTTGAGATTTACTTCGTAATTTTTAATACAGATATTTTGTGTTTTTATGCATTTTTGCCTTGTCGCGAAGTGAAAACTGAATGAATTGAATGAGAAATACTCAATCGTCTGTGAAAAACCATTTCTTTTTTGTTTTGTTTAAGGCTCCTATATTAAGGACTTTAGAGGAGCCTTAGTTTTGTTTGATTAATTTCTTTTATACATAGTTCTAGCCTTATTATAGTATTTGAGTAGAACATGTGGCAACGATTAGATAATTCTTTAAATGATATAAATTTTGTGCATTCTGAGTTATAATATGAACGAAACATAATACTGTTAAGTAAACCTAGCGCCTGAGTATCGCTATGGTAAACAAAGTAAATTTTAAAGAATAAATTTATTCTATTGTATTTTATGCGCTGTCGGCGAAGTAGGTTTAATTCAATCTAATAAGTTTAAATGAAATTCAAGAAAAAATGCGTATAATTTAATATTCCGTACAAGGAAGTTATGTGGTGTACATATCAGATTTTTTTCTTTTATGTGCAAAATTGTATTATAATGAAAATCCTAATTTTAGATTATTTATTTTGTGTTACTATTTAACGGAAGACATTGTATTTTTGAATCACAACTATAACGGCTGCGAAAAACTTGTTAAGTGAATATTTTTCAGAAAATATATTCTGCCTATTAGTTTATTTCAGTAACGCAGAAGTGCAGTATTAGGATGGATTCTCCCTTCCACGTGTCGATTAAATTTCACTCAAATATTTATTGCCAATGCGTTTTAAATAGCAGTATGTTTGATTTCATTTTCTTAAAATTCTTTACTTAATTGGTAGTTCAGAGTTGAAGTTATTGAAGAGTGTTGGCTAAAATGATGCTTGCTTTCTTTAAGAAAACAATGTATGGATACACAGTTGACATTCAGAAAATACGTTTCTGCACTTGTAATGAACTAGCCTTTTTCCCTAAGTTCTCATGTTATAAGTGGTGAATACTTTTAAGCTGGTAATTGGAAGATCAGTGGTTGGGGCCACTGATAAAAATTAAAAAAAATCATAAATCCTCATAATCTTTATTATAATAAAATGGGGTTTCCTTCGATCTGATCGAAGTGGTCTGTTATCTTATTTCAGTCGCTTTTTAACTTATCGAAGTAATGTCTTATGAGCTCTGTGGTCTTAATTTCGAAGAAGGCCCAAAGAATTTATTATGCGTTGAATTTATTATGTGTTATTGGGTCGAAATTTCTGATAGTTTTCACATACTTCGGATAGCATTTTATGCAACCACACCACGAGTCGAATCATAAGTAAAACGGCCCATCAGGCGGCAGAGCGGTAAAGTCGCTGAACACTGGTAGTTCTTTCCGAGGTCCAAATCCCGCAAACGGCCTGGCTGCATGGGCGTTTCTGTAGTTTTCCGTCTGTGTAACGTGTATATGAGCCAGTTTCCCTTAGGAAGTCGTCCACGTTTTATAGTGTGTCTTTGCAAAAACATGAATTCTGAAAGACTACGAGCATCCACACCGACCAATCTCCAGACCCTACCCGGTTTTGAATTTTAGAAGCAGAGTTCTTTAGTCTGTTCTCTTCCAGTCAGATACATATCTCTTTTGGAAAATATTCTTTATGGTTGCATCACAAGTCACCCATAATGGGACTCTTTCAATAACTGTCAAGAGTAGGAAACACTATCGCCTGCTGCAAGTGAGTATTACCGACCAAAGTATCAAATTCCTCCACGAAGGCATCTCTACCCTTAGGCTAATACCTTAACCCTTAGCTCTCGAGTGCTTTGCTACACTCATAAACCAAACGAAACCATAAATAAAACTATGTGTTCAGTAATTCAGTAATCTTGACTCATGCATCGACATCCCATGCGAAATTGTTTTTACCCATTCTTTCACTGCAGAATAAGGAGACGGTAGCAAATGCCTACCAAGCACTATTATTATGATTTTTTTTGGCTTTGAAATTAAAGTCAAAAATATAATCACTATATGATATGCAATTTTAAACATTTCAGAACAATCTAATACTCCATTTTATTCATTCAGTAAACAGTCAAAAAAAAAAAAAAAAAAAAAAAAAGAGATACACGATATCTGTCAAGAAAATTTTAAATTTATTGCTTAAGTTCCTTTTATTATTGCCGTTACATAACGAAAAATTTTAAATAAGCCTATGTGTAAGTAACAGAACTTCTTGTGTTGTGTTAAAAAAAGAAGAAAAAAAAACATTCTCGATGTCATTCTTATTCTAAAATGTAGTAGTATTAGAAGAAGACGTGATAAATAAATAAAATACATGAATGTGGACTCCGACCTTGGTTTGTAAACGACTGTCAAGTGAAACCGGCATAGAAGCAATGACCGCTAAAATCGACCTTCAGATTGCTTTTGTAAGTATTGCTTGCATGCTAGGAAATCAAAAAGACTGCTGCAGAATATTAAACTTTCGCTGCATTTATGAGAAGTATGTCTTTTAAATTGTTCACTATTTGTTAAGTGAGGGAATTTCTTTTTTATACATACATAAATGTATATGACTTGTTTATCATAAATAGTCAAATATTACTATTTGTGTGAGACATTAAGCTAGTATTAAAGACGGGCTTTTTAGCTAGATTTTTTTAAAACTAGCAAAGGCAGTGTCATCGGTAAACTTTTTGGCCGCACCGGTTTTGCTAGCTTTGGCGACGGTCATGGCCGCTTGAAATTGTGAAGGATAGGCTATAGATCATTATATTAACATTTGTATAAAGTGCTCTATGAGATATGGATTCCCGAAATGTAAAACATACAGGTAAAAAAGAAGCCTAATTTTTCTCAGATCAGAATTCTACAAGGTTTTGAAGCTTCGATACTTTCATATGATGATGATAGAGGTAATAATAATAAAAATGGCAATAATAATAATTTATTAAAAGAGGTTTTATCTGAAGGCAAATTTCAAATCTGAGTTTAATGCATAAAAAAAAATCTGATGTGTACACCACATGACTTCCTTGTACGAAATATTACATTACACACATTTTTTCCTTCATTTCATTTAAACTTATTTTCTCGAATTTCATGGGAGATTGATTTGTCATTCAATTAATTTTCTCACTTCGCAGCAAGGCAAAAATACATAAAACATCAAAATACCTTTATTAAAAATTGAAACATATAGAAAAAAACCAAATACAGTTAAAGCAATTAAAAAATAACATTTACAGTTAAAGTGTTTCTATGCAGAAACAAGCAATTCGGCCAACAGGCCAGAAAGCAAATTTTCCGGTGCAAAATCTAAAAGTTTTCTTTTGGCCCACTCAGCAAAAAAGACACTGAAAGTGCAGAAACTGAATTAATTCCCTATTCTGCTAAGTGTCAAATGTAAAAAAATATGGCTGCTATAGTAAATCATTAGGCTTGCCGCACTTAAACAACTTTTAAGTTGTTGATAATTCTACAAATATTGCATGCAACTATATATCTAAAGATTGTATAAGATAGTATAGAGTGTATTATTGTATAAGGTATAGATGCAACTATCTATATCTTATACAATTTTTCAATTCATAAAAACCTTAATCGAAAGATAAGAACAACATAATTCAATCATCTTGAAAGCAAAAAGTGCACAATTTACCAAAATATAAGAATAAAAATATATATATATATATATTGGTGCTATAAACTAACAGCGTAGGATATATATATATGATATATATATATATATTGGTGCTATAAACTAACAGAGTAGGCCATATATATATATATATATATATATATATTATACTT